AGATTAATTTCATTTCAAGGTATTGTACATATATATATATATATATTTTTTTGGTATTAGTAAATAACAAATTTCTACAGATCAAGAAAGATGAATTACATTGTGTGTAGGGTCCTCACGTAGAGCTCTTCTCATCGCCTAACACAGCCTTAAGCAGTTTCTCTCTGTTGTCTGTATCTCCAGTTTGTGTGAGGTGTCGATTTTCTCTCATACGGATAAATGAACGTACATCAAAACCTTACGAGCGTTCAGATGTCATATCTTTCCTTTTGTCCAAGTTCATTGTTTCGTGCTTGTAATCTTTATTTCTCGGCTTGAATTTTCTTCAGCCTTGGCTTTTCGAACCGGCAAGCTAGGTTTCTTTTAAGTCTACACGAACCCCGTCGGATCGTTCCTCTTCTCTGTGGGCGGCATGATTAGGCACTCCACTTCGTTAATTTATCAAGCATTTCTAGTTTTCTAGTGAGCATCTTTGAGGCTTTGTCTCTCAGTCTATTCCAAGTTCTGTTTTTCTTTATGTCTACTTACGTGTGCCCTTGTGTTCTCTGAACTAGCTGTAGTAAATGCAGCTGATGGTGGACATCTAGCTCTTTTCTTCTTTACAGTCAAGAAAAAGATCTGGAAAATCTGTTTTCTTTTCAGGAACTTCCGGTTTTGGCTCTTTTGGCTGAAGGAAAAATTACTGTTTGGAAAATTTAACATTTCCTTTTTTCTATGCATACTTATTGCAAAGAAGTGTGGTGAGGGAAATATTTAAATTTCGTTTGAATCTGTATTTCTATTAAAAAATATCAAAGGGATAAAAATACTGAAATGTTGTAAAATATGGATAGAAAAATGGCTGTTTTCATTCATCGTTTGATTACTTGCAACCTTTTAAAGCAAACATGGCTAGTTTTATTGATGTTAACATCAATCTGCAGTTAGTGGTTTCACGGTTCATAATGTGCCGGTATAATTACAATATGAGGACCAAAATCTTTAAATCCCACTTAGTTATTAAAGTTGGATAGATAAAGCTGTTGAATTCACGAATACAACCGAATTCCATAAAGAGAGACTATCACGTTTCATGCTCCCGGATTATCAGTAAACGAAGTTTAATTATCTTATCATTTCGATGTTCCTACACCCTTATCAACCTGAGACAAAAAGGAGCTATATCAGGACACAGATAAGATAATCTTAGCTCCCGGTTTCTTGGAAATATTCTTAGATACACAACACACCAAATGACCTAGGATCAAAGACGTACAAGTCGCGAACCAGGTAATTACAACAAGACACCAAAAGGACAAGGTCGAAGAGAGAGTGCTAACCACATCCGGGATATAGCTTGAAAAAATAAAGATCATGTAATAGTTTATTTTGAGAAAGGTATCAAATTAAAAGAAAACATGAACATTCAGATCCGACAAACCAATTGATAAATTATATTTTCCTCCGAACACTAGCATCTAGTGTTTTTCATTGGATTAAGAACATTTTATATGGTGACCTACAATGTTTCTATTTAGTAGGTCAGTTGTTGACGCAATAACAAGAACAATTTGAGAGCCATTCCTCCAAAAATAAATTTTCATCGTTATTTGCTTCTTCCCTCATACAAAGGATTTTAACGTTTTACACAAATTTTTTGGTGTTCCGATTGTCCATATTCATCTGACAAACATTAAATGATGATTGTCAGCATTGCTCCGGCATATTTTCCTATAATAGAGATCTTACACGACCGTTTATCTTAAATATGCCTTTAATTCTCTGACTTGACATATGCATGGTATAACAGTGCAATATCTTAAACTAAGACTTTGAAGTATTCCTCGAGTGCCATCCTCATGCTTCTCATTCTAAAGAGAGTGGGAATGGAAGTTTGGGCACGTTGACAAATAGTACACACGCAGCGCTGTCTTATACTGGTACTGTTTTACGGATGAAGGACTCACTCATGGAGTATGAGGGCCTAATACAAGAATCAGCTACAAACCTCGTCCGCTCCTCAAATCATTAACAAACGGCCACCCGGTCTATATCTCTCTCCGTAAAGTCTCTCGAGGTAAAACTTAGTCATATGAGCACACTTATTTAACGCCATTCTCGCTTACTGTTATTGATAGTGTGGTATCTATTTATTTTTAGATATAATTTTTAACCAGATATTAATACAACTGCTGCGTAAAATATCGAGACATAATATACGCATACGATGCGCCTTACTTAAGGAACGATTACGAAGTAATTATATATTGCCTACTTTGGTCCTGTCGTTTATTTTAGTCCAGGGGTTAACCCAATTTTAGGCCACTACGTAATTAATCTCTGAGTTCGCAGAACTCAATACAAATGCTAACCAAGTGCAGCCACAACAGATCTTCCGTTAATAAAATTTGAAAAATTCTAGGAAATGTACCCCAAAACTACAACATATTCAGGCGCAATTTTCATACACCATCGCCAACCCCCCGATTGACTAGACCAATGTTCGGTTTTGATTGCACCCACATCGCGGAACGTAGTGTTCTCGAGCCCACACATTACCAGCCCTTTACGATCCGTGTCCCATCTTCAATGCTAAATCAACCCAACCATATTTAATATTCGGCAATGTCGCGGCATTCTGGGAAAAATGTCAAATAGACCAAGGTGACCATAGGTATTACAAACACTAGGCGTTTACTCTTATGAACACTACATCTAGCAACTTGTATGTGCTTTATCTCATTCTTGACATATGAGTCACCCAACCGATAAGGAACTCAACACAACTCTTCGTTTCCTTCCCTCAAAAAATGTGTTTTCGACATTCAACTTTTCGGCAACTTCATAAAAATCCAGGGAACTAGCACAGTTTAGACGAATGACCACTCTTTTTTAATATTAAAACCTGTGCACGGTGCGATTATTTTAAAGTTAAAACAGAACTGACTCTGTTATTTTATTCCTCGGTATAAATTCTCAATTTCCTGATATATTCAGTTATGTCTGTGTTAATTGTATCGGTCCTTTTCTTATAAAATAAGGAGATATTTTTTTTTGATTACTTACCGTATATTTTACCACTCAGGGGATTCACTTCCAAGCTCCATTGTTGAATACATGGAGGTTGGCGACTTCCTCTCGGCAGCACCGACCAAAGCGAATCCAGTGTTACAAACATTATGTGTATAGCTACCAATGAGGCGCAAAGCACCTCTTACTTAGTTTGAACGGGTGTTGGACTCATTGGGCAGCCGCGGTTCTCCGGTTTGGACATCCTGTTCATCAGAAACAAATAAGTGAGTTCTGCATGGCAATAAGACTATTATTTTCTTTGTCCGGTTGATTTGCGTGCATGCAATTGACTTTGCAGTAGATTGATGGCTGTGATGATTTATACCTTGCTTATCTGGCAATTCATGCAATTCTTACGTGAGAATCCAGCATTCTTTTAGGAGTTGACAAAAAAAATTACATAAATCGAAGCAAAGTTAAATAACCATTGTATCAAGCTGAACAAGAAAAGTTATGAGATTTTTTTCATAGTGCCACATATGGAGTATCAGCGGAACATTCAGCATAGTTATAACAAACCGATGCTCGTCACATTTATAAGAGTATTCTCATATGGGGATACACGTCCCGCCCCGTCGTTAGTATTTTACCAAATAATATACAGGATTATCGCACATATGACATAAAAGTTGATGAGTCATTGAAATTTATTTTCTTCCTTGATATTTTGATTTTAACATGTTTTTATTTGAAACAAGATCCGTATTCCATTGTCAACAGATATACCTGTAGTAACATTGTGGTGCAGGTTCCATTCCATTTTCCTGTATCAGAGGAAACCACGTCCTGAGTACCTGCGACCAATTAAGGGGGACGTCCTCCCTGTTGTCACATGGAGTAAACGCGGCTCATATCGCTGTCTCGTCTCGCGAGTAATAACATCTCGTGTTAATGTTTGAAATCCCAGTTGTTGTTTGCGCGTCACATCCGCCGCAAATCTTAAATTATTGTTTGTGTATCTGATACTCAATAGAAGAGATTTAATAACTTTAAAGTTAATTACGTAAGTCAAGAGCAGACTATACATCATACCATGTACACTGGCAGTGAATGTTGAAACAAAGCATTTTTTTCAAATTATATGTGTTATTTGTTCTGAACAAAATAATTATAGGACGACATGTGCGGTTTGTCGACCATTCGTATACCGCATTTCACACAAAGAAGAGAATACCAAGAGAAAAGCAAAATATTAATTATTCGAGAGGCAATTTTGCAATACTCCAATTGTTAATTGGCTATTACCAGTAGGCAACTGTCAATTACAGAATCGTAATGTTGTCCGGTAAGACATACAGATAGACATCTGTCGCCACCATTGGCCGTGCGTCCCAGTATCAGTAAGAGGCCCACTATCTGTAAGCATACGACATGCCAGATTCTACGCATGCACCAAACGCCTGCTCACCTCGTTAGAGGCTCTCTAAAAACTGTTTAAGAAATTCATAACATCTAAACTTGGTCTGAAGCGTTCTCCTCCTATTTAAGTAACCATAATCGCTCACGTTGTACTGTTTCAATTGGAAAACTATTGAGTTTGAAATAGAGTAGAAAGAAGCTCTTCATAACCATCAATCTTATGAGTCACATGCCGACATAGCTTATAAATAAGTAAGGTATAAAACAAGACAGGAAGAATATACACAATACATAGTCAGTGTATAAACCTAATAGTTTTAATATTAATGGCAGGCAACGATTTCTTTACAATAATACAATTATCTTTCACTGATTTTTAATTTTAAAGGCTTTTGTTTCTTTTAATCAGTTTTTAATAATAATGATTATATGTATAAAATTGAATCATTATTATTATATATTACAGATATGAATTTTATGTTACGCTCTCAAGTATCATTATCTTACTAGTAGTACGAGGTTAATGACAAATATTGAATAAAATATCATTAACAAGTTGTAGTTAATCACAACGATTAAGGCATAACTTATAAAGCAAAATGGTTCATTTGTCCAAGAGCCTTGTATCCTGACATTCTATCCTGCTGATTCCACTGATATAGTAGCCGTCATTGCATGTGTACGTGGCTGTCGCCGAGACCAGGGTACCAGCTGTGTACGTTACCTGACCGTTCTCAACAACTGGTGGAATTCCACAATCTGAATTATCATATGAAAATAAACTGTTGGATCAAAAAAGTTAAACCTTTTCTAAAATAAATACACAATACAATCCATTTCTACTATTTAAAAGATTTCTGTGAATATCAAATGTGATTTTGGTAAGAAGACTCGAATTTTTGGACATATGCTTAAAACTTAAAGAGAGACACAGGCAAAATTTCCATTTCTTAGTTTTGAATTTTTCATTCATTATTCTGTAAATGTCCTCAAATAAAACACTAGACTGTCACAGGAACAAAACTTTTCTCCCTATAAAGAATAAAATGGTGGTTTCCTAACTTGACCCTCGTGGGTCAGATTAGAGCATTAAGATTAGATTTCACAATAGTTGTCACAGTGAACTCTGGAAACATTAAAGTACATGTCAAAAGAATGACTTACATTTTCAATCATAAAATTTCCTCAATATCTGTTTTGTTTTTAAACCAGTCGGTGATTCTGTCGGAGTCTAAATTTTGTTCAAACATATATTATAAGATATGTTCACGCTTCGAACCCAAAATAAATAGAAACTATACAGAAAATTCATGCTGTGACTTTAAAAAATGTCATTTTAGCGTGATCTGAGAATATAAAATCATTTTAATATTTTTGTCAATAATTTGCCTGAGTATTCCTTTAAAGTTAAAAATGAAATCATTTGGTCGGTAATCAATATTGTTTTTATGCATACAAACATAACAAACAAGGGCAAAGTTCAAATACAAGATATCAGCTATATTTTAAAACATAACTACTAAGTAACAGCAAAAATAATATCAGACCTAGTCTACATTCTGGAACGGTTCCCCAAAAACCAGACGCTTCACAAGTAACATTCGGGTTTCCAACCAGGCCATAGCCGGAATTACATTCGTAGATGGCGACGTCACCAACCTGACTACCAGACGGTGTCTTGGAAACAGCATGTGGAACTGATATGGCGGCATCACAATCTAGCAAATAGAAAATAATAGGAATTATACATGTATATACTCTTTTGAGTTTAAACTACATTTAAAATTTTTTACTATATCGGAAGCGTGTACCATAATTATTGTAATTATCAAATATAAATCAAAATTTTACTGTGCTTATGTGTTTGTTAATATAGATAACTTTATTACCCAGAATTGTGCACACGGGTTGGTTGTCGCTCCACGAACCGGTTGCCAGGCACACTCTTGAGGCAACGCCGGTTACTTCATATCCGTTGTCACATACGTAATAAACAGTTGAACCATAGATTGTGCCCACTGAGTAGGAAATACCTCCATTTACAATATCAGCTACAAATCCACAATCTGGAAAAATAAATACAATCTGAAGATTGCCCGGAAAGAGAACAAATAAAAGCTATGTTATGGTTTTACATTTCTAACCGTTAGGTAATAAATGGAGGAGTTAATTTAAGAAAAAAAATAGCTCCTGAACCTTATGTTGGACCAGTTGTTATTAAAAAACATTTTGAACGAAAAAGACTTATTCTTAAGTCAGCACATAATCTTAAGTTAACTTGATATCTACAAGTTTCAACAATTCAGATTTCGCTTCAACATGTATGAGAAATTATACTAGATTTTTTTCAAAATTATATTTCAGTGCAAGCTAATCTCGTGCTGGGTGTTATTGTTATTGCGTACCAAGAATTTCACACGTCGGGTCAGATGCACTCCATCGGCCATCATCTTCACATGTTCTTGTGGACACACCGTTGACTTGGTAACCAGAATTGCACGAATATTCCGCTTCTTCGTTATATGTTGTTCCATGTACTGTCAATACCTGACCATTTTCAGGATCTGTTAGTGGTCCACAGTCTGAAACAAATCATGGTGGTCTTAAAAGTTTAAAACATTATTATGCAATAATATTATCAGTATCACATTTATATTTGTTTCATATTTTCTTATATAAGCTTATGCTATTTTAAACAAATTTAACTTTAAGTACACGCATGTATCAAAATTAACCTTTAATAATGCATGTAGGGTTTGAATTATCCCAGTCTCCCGTGTTGGTACAATATCGTTCTGAGTCTCCTGTCAATGTGTAGCCAGGGTTGCATGTAAACACAGCAGTTGCTTCAAACAGGGTACCACCTGATAAATCCACACTGCCAGATGTCGGTGATTTCAAGTTTCCACAGTCTGAAAAATAAATCATAGCCATATCAAAGTAGCAATGAAAATCACAGTATCATATTTCAAGTTTGTAGGAAAAATTGATAACAGTTAACACTATGGACAAAAGTTATTTAAATAAATTCCTTTATTTACATTGTATGGCAAACATTTTGAAAAGAGAAGATCCGATCCCTTAAGAATAATAAAACGAAAACAAATAGTTGAAAATTTTATTGAGCAAACATAACAAATGCAACATATCTCATGCCCCCTAGAACAGGCTAATTTATTAGGGCAAACCTCTTTTAAACAAAGACCTCAAAGAAATATTTTTTTTTAAAAAAACGGACAACTTATTAAGCTGTCACTCGGCTCTTTACACTTTGTTTTTAGTAATCAATATCTGATACAGCCACCGAAATAACAAAGATTTCCAAAAAGCAAATTGTTTTAAAAAGTTTAACTTTGATACCTAGCCTGTCACAGGTTGGAGCAGATGAACTCCACGAGCTGTCAGCTTGACAAGTTCTCTGAAGTACACCATTAAGTTCAAACCCTGCGTCACAGGAGTAAGATGCCGTGTTGCCGTATGACGTACCAGAAGAAATATCAACATTGCCATTAGCAGGATTAGTTAACACCCCACAATCTGTATCAGTCAATAAGTATATCTTGTCAGGAAAAATAAATACTTCTACAATGCATGTTATTAGATCATATCTCTTATTTTCATTTCAAAAGTAGGAAAATATTGATGGTAAAACATTCCTTCAGCAATATATAATAATATCCTGGTCAAGCATATTTTTAGACACTTCTGAGTTTACAGGATAATATACCTTCACTGTTTTGCTAAAAAACAGATAAACCTTCATTAGAAACATTTACTACTCTGATTTTTAATAAATAAAGGATATCTAGTTATAAAAATTAACAAAATTCAATATCTAATGCAGCAAAAGTGTGAAAAAAGGTAAGAAATCCGTTTGCCTAAAATACCATCGTACCCCGAAATAAAAGTAAACATATTTACTTTTTATCGTGCAATTTTCTTTTAAAAATAAAGAAATTAAATAAATATTACAGGGCGTCAGCGTGACATGCTGTTTTTTTCTAATTTTCGGTAAAGTACAAGTATCTTATTTCTGGTAAAGTATAAGTATATTATTTACCATTTATTTGACATACTGGGTCCGTGCCACTCCAAGTCCCGGACGCCTGACATCTTCTAGTACTGGATCCAACCAACGTATAGCCAATGTTGCATGTGAATAAAGCATTTGACAGGTATGTCGTACCTTCACTATTGTCAACTGCACCATTAGCTGGATTTGTGAGAAAGCCACAATCTGCAAAGCAAGCATGATATATCTCACATGTTTATTGTAAAATTAAAGAATAAGTAGAACTTTTATGAAAGATACGAGTAACACAATTTTACCTTCGAAATTTTAGCTAAACACCGAAAAACCAAAAGATGACGATAATGTGATTTATAACAATTTTTAAAAAAGAGTTTAATATCCATGTACTTATTATCGCAAAAGTTTAGTAGTGTGAATGATGAGCTGCAAGGACATAACAGAATCATATTGAATTAAAGTCTGCGATTCCCTTTGGTTTCGTTTAATCAGTACATGTAGCTTGGAAACATACCTTTTATGTTGCATGTTGGCTTCGCACTATCCCAAGAACCGTCCTCCAAGCATTCCAGACTTGCAGCTCCGGCCATGTCGTATCCATTGTTACATTGAAATACTGCCACACTCTCATAGGTCGTACCATCTGTTAGATCGACATTACCATTCGCTGGAGCAACAATTGTTCCACAATCTAAATGTAAAATAGTACATCTAGTTACGTGACGCAAAGAAACGAAATCTAAATATAAAAGAGAACAACTAGTTACGAGAATCAAAATTCCGAAACTGCATATAAAAGAGAACATCTTGTTATGACAATCAAACTTCTGAAATAGAACATCTCGTTACGAGAATCAAAGTTCCGAAATATAAATATAAACATCTCATTACAAAAAACAATGTACCGAATTTTAAATATAAAAATAAACATCTCGTTAAGACAATCAAAAAGTATCAAAATAATTTTTACTTACCGGGAATTGCAACCTTTTAAACTATGAAATTATGAAATATGTCGAAAAGAAAATCCGATTGTCCTGATTAATTTATACCAATTTTGATGAAAATAAACACTATTGCTCTAGAAAGTCAAATTCATTTTTATCTCAATAAATGAAACAAAGGATGTTTTAATGAAATTTCTGAATGAAATGAAGTTGTACATACCTGGTCATTGTTGAGTTCACTATTTCTCTAACATACATTTATGAGGAGCTAAATAATATGGCATGAAAAGCTGAGTCAATCCATGAGAGTTATTTCGTGCATAAGCTAGATGCAAGCTAGGTAAAAGGCTTGTGAAATATATAAGGAAGAAAATGATACGCATGATAAAACTATTTAAAAAAAACATGTTTATAAACTTTATGAAAGAAATACCTTCAACAACAATTTGAAATGAAATAAATGTATGGAACAATGCTTTAAAATAGATAGGTTATTTTAACTTACTATTACTATGTGAAACATTTTTACGGTGACAATGCAACTTCGTATAAACTTAAAATTGTTTTAAAGATATACTATGCTCAAATTTGATTTTTAAAAATGTTAATAATTGCTACACAGTCTCTTTCTATGTATAAAATAAACATGTATCGACATCATTTAAAGTAGATATGTTATGTTTTGAACTCTGCACACTATGGGTTGTCACAATATGAATATATAGTGTCATTAAAAGAACTGGCAGTTTTTTAAAGAAAAGACCAACTTAACTTGACCCGTAATAGGAAATGCAGCTTCCCACACACAGTTTATTCATTATTTTATTCAAATTAAACATATTAAGTAAGAATTTCATGGATTTCAATACATTTCTAAGATAATAATATTTTACCCAAATTTGAGCATAGTATATCTTTAAGGTATTTCCAGTCGATGAAGTTCAGATATACTATATCTTTATTCAGGAAATCATTATATATCAAAATGTGTGACATTTTAAAAGTAATAATAAAATGAGTCTATGTCATTTTAAAGAAAAGTTATTGCTTCCTAACTTATTAATAAATTTCTTAACAGAGTGACAACTTTCGCCAATTATGTTTATGATATCAGCTGTGGATAGTATAAAAAAGAGTTTTGACTTATTCATCTCAAAATGTAACGCAATCTAGACCTAATGAAACAAAAAAAATTAATTAGATTTTAAGAAGTGATGTATATGCAGGTAAGCAATAACAAATACTAGTTTATTTGAATCCCTTACATACATATGAAAATTATGTAAATGGATAAAGTGGCATAAGGATTAACATAGCACAACTACAACCTTTTAAAATATGTAGAATTTCAGCATTTAAATTAGCCTTTCAGAAAGTATGCTTTATAGTTAGTTATTCATTAGTATGCCAACTAGTTCTTTTTTGAACATTTTAATGTTTATAGAGCTTATAGAATGTTTGTAATTAATGATTAGGCACATTGTAAGCAGGATGTGCAGTAATGGATGAGGCATAGCATATAGGCATTTTCTAATGTGGCAATGTAATGCACAATATGCATATATCGTATAGCAGAATATGTATAATGAAGATGCGCTAAGATGTATATCATATCAAAGCCTGTATCAGTTAAGACAACAACTCAAAATACAAACCGTTTATCTGACAGACAGGGTTAGCACCGCTCCATACACCGGTATCTTGGCACGTTCTTGTAGCATCTCCTACCAAGGTGTAACCAGTGTTACAAGAAAACTCCGCAAGACCTTGGTACAGTTTATTTGGAGTATATTGAAATGCGCCATTTAGAATAGCTGCCACGCTACCACAATCTGACAACCAAACGAATATGAATATCATGGGAAATAGAAACTGTTATGTATCTGTATTAGATACTTTACTGCGAGAATTGTCACAACAAATTACAAATAGAAAATTAATTATGAGTTGATATGTTTCTTTCAAAAAGATTCAATTAAAACATAAATAATCAATTATAAATTTCAGCGATGTGCATTGAATGGCTGATGTGCTTCCAAAACTTTGATGTTGTTTCAACATTACATTAAACTGTTGACATACCTTTGATGACACATGTAGGCGTTGCCCCATTCCATGATTTGTCTGCCTGACACGTAACTGACGACAATCCAGTTAATGTGTACCCGGCATTGCAAGAAAAGTATGCTTTACTTTCGTAATCTGTTCCTTCACTTGTGTGATCGACAGCACCGTCTGTAGGCGGAGTAAGCGTTCCACAATCTAGTATTGTAATTTGTAATTGTTAATAAGATGTCTTTAAAAGTTCTAGCGTGATTGTCACAAACAAGTTAAATTTTAAATTACTTCATGGTTATTAAAGCTGTTTGTCTGCCGGTATGCAAATATAATTATTAATAAATATAAAGATTAAATAAATTGATGTAAAAGTATATGTATTATATTAGTAGTTAGTACACACAATATGACTGAATTATAATTTTTATCGCTACATTTCCGCATTGTCACAAACGGAAAAACGACCTTATTTTTAAAATCTTAACATATTTTAGCTGTAATGTGCTTAAACAAATGCTTGTCCTACCGGTATTTACATAATTTGTTCATTTCACAGCATTCTTATATTGGAATTTCGTACAAATCAGTATGAATCTAGAGGCAAAATGCTTTAAGATGTTTTGAAATTTCTTTTATAAAATTATATTCAAAACTAATTTTATATTAAGTACATTTACTAGTTTATGGTTTACAAACTATCAGTATAACATAATATAATACTAACCAACACGACTACATGATCCTGTTGCCCCGGTGGGGTCTTCATACCCGGATTCGCACACGCATATACTGCCGTCACATTCTGCATTAGCAAGATTGTCACAAACGACAGCTCTTGCTGAACAATCGTCACCTAGTTCACCTGAATGCATATTTTTATAAATCATATATCAAAACAATTTTAGCAACCTGGACTGAAATGCTTCATATACAATCATATATATATGCAACGAGCATATGCACAAAATTCTTATTGGTTGTTCAAACAGTATAACTATGTCCTTTGTTACATTATTAAAATTTTACTTGACTTATTAAAAGAGCACTTAATACTAAAAAAACTCAAATTTAATATATTGTTTTTCTAATCAACTTCATCATAATCATTAAAATTATGACAGATTCAACATCAGTTCGGAATGTTGAATCGTAGCATCAAAATAGTCAAAATTCTGAAAAATAATATATCAAAAGGTTGGCTAAATTTGTGAAAACTGTGCCTTCTCTTCTAATAACTTGCAACTTAATGCTAGGAATAAGAACCGTGCCTGCTTATGTCTCAATGAAACACACACAGGAAAAGTTGCTATGCTATCTAAACAGTATCCTAACGACTTTAAACTCAGCACAACCTAAAATTATAGCATTTGTTACAAACCTGGTCGACAAGTTAAGCCAGTGAACCCGTTGTTACATGTGCAGATGTATCCGTTAACTTGGTCAGTGCAGGTGCCCCCATTCTGACAAGGAGACGATGCGCACTCATTAATGTCTGATGAAGAAAAAAGAGTTGAACTTAATTAAAATTCATATTATATCCAACACCATGCATGCGTTTGATCTTATAATAGTGATTTGAACTTTTATGTATTCATACAAAAAAGTTAATAAAGTTGGTCGAAGCCCTTTCAACTGAATCACAGGACGAACGGAAATCCTCTCTTAAATTGAGTATGCATTATAAATCGGTAAATATGATTTAAATTGTCAAAATTGCAGCATTTTAGCTGATATAGTTTTAAGTTTTGATAAAGGCTCCTGTAAAGTTGAAGTTAGTTTTTTAAGCTTTCCTTCAAATTATAAAGTTGTTGGAAGTGATAATGTTTTTTTTTATAAACGAAATGAGTTTTGTCTCTAAGTGGATATAGAAGCAGATTTACCTGTCTGACAATATCTGTCGGTGTAACCAGCAGCACACACACAAGTATAATCATTTATCTGATCTACACATGTAGCACTATTTTGACAACTATGAGAAGCACATTCATCAATATCTAAATACAGCAAAAAATAAATAAAATAAAAATCATTGCATATTATATTTTAATCAGGTACATGTATAAGAGAAAAAAAATATTGCAATTTTATTAAAAAAAATTGAAAATTACATAAGTACTTCAACACTGTTAACTTATCTAATAATATTACTGTTTACATCATTCTAAAACATAGAAATCAGATCATGAAAATGGTAAAACATACCAATTTCGCAGTAAGTGCCATCATATCCCGGTACACAGTCACACGTGTAGGCATTTATACCATCAACACATGTGGCTCCATTCTCACACAAGTTACCAATACACTCGTCAATGTCTTAATTGAAAAGAGAAAAATCAATGATATTTATAGCATTGTAATGATTTAAAAGATCGATTTTTTATTGGCATATATTACATGTACACACGTTTTGCATATTCCTTACTTGGTCAAACGTATACATTTTAATAAACAGAGTCACTGATGCGTAAATATTAATTAGAATTTAGCATAATTTATTGTTAGAAATATCAATTACAAGCTAAGGCAAAATATTCTAGAGAAAATGACAATATACGAGTGAATATATAATGAAGGACCATTTAGGCCTACAAAGTACTCACTATTTTCGCATTCATCACCGTTGTAACCAGGTACACAGTTACACGTGTATTGGTCCACTTCGTCAACACAAGTTCCACCATTTTGACACGGATCAGAGTCGCATTCATCAATGTCTGAAAAGGTTTACCACTTATATATATAGTTATGAATTTAAGTAAAATTAAACCACACGTATTTTACAGACGAATGTCACACGTATTTCACAGATCAATGTCAATAACATAATCTAAAATCACAGAATATCAAATTAACATTTTGATAACTCATGTCAGTTTATTTAATAATAATGCGTCAGGTAATAAATATTACAATTTAAGAAGCATACAGTATTGAAAAATTGTTTGATCTTGACAAAAATCGGCTTTGCGAAAAGATACAAGCTGTTATTCCAAATATAAGTCATTTTTAAATTTACGATACTTACTAATGTTACAGGTTTTCCCATCATACCCTGCAACACAATTACACGTGTAGTCGTTGATACCGTCGACACACGTTGCTCCATTTTGGCAAGGGTCGGGGTCACACTCGTCAATATCTGAAATTCACGGAATTTCCTTAGTAAATCACATACATCGACTAGATCTTCAAATTTTATGCTTTTTTACCTCAATGGAGTTCCGTTACATGCAAAACACGAAATCCAAAGCAAAAAAGGGGACAAGGGTAAAAATCAACATTTTAATCATTGAATTTGAATTGTTAAGTTGATAAATTGACTTACTTGTTTGGCACTCTTTGTCTGTGTAGCCCGCTACACAAGTACACGTGTAGTCATTTACCTTATCAACACAAGTAGCGCCATTCATACATGGATCTGGTGAACATTCATCTATATCTGAAACAGAAAGAGCAGCGCATCTATATTTAACATAACCATAAATGTTAGTATTTATATCTTCTTGAACATATTTTATATTATTTCGAAAACTATATAATGTACTATATATGAAGTAGCTTAAAAAGAATATTTGGCATGGATGTGGAAATACTTAAGAATAATGTTAACGACACATCTGAAACCAATATCTTTGTAACATTTAATCTAAAGAACGTCCAGAGAACGTCCAGAAAAATAAATTTGAAAGTGTTGCAAACTCGGTTTGGTTGAGCCTGTTCATTGATGTCAGTGATAATTGCAAACCATCGTCCATGCGCCCTAGCACCGACTTAATTAAGCAATACTCACCATTTTAACATGAAATTGGTGAAATTTTGAATTTAGAAACATCCGCAAATGTGTTCATACGGCGGTTCATACAAAGCCTATTGATGAATTAAATAGAATTAGCAAATGCTCATGTGACCAGAGTATATTTTTGGTGACTTTTTTTTTCGGAAAACCCACTCCAGAGTATTGCAAAATTTGGAGAAGGAAGAAAATTTAGCTTGTTGAGAGAATAATTTTCGTACATTAATATATAATCGTATGCAATATGACCTTAACAACATGACAATTAAAAAAAAAGAATACAAGGCGGAACTCACTAGTTTGACAAAATGTGTCGGTATATCCGGCAACACACGTACACGTGTATTTATTGACACGGTCTACACACGTGGCGCCATTCAAACAAGCATGGTCATCACATTCGTCAATATCTGCAAACAGATTTTTAAAGTATAATATCACAGTACATTGTATTTCTTTATATCATGTTTCATTACTGTACAGTAGTCGATACATTACATTATGTTTATTTATATATATTTTAATAATATCAATGTTGATTTTCAATCAAATAAAGAAAGTAAATGTAGATCAACATTCATTTTTTCGTGGATTAAAGTCACATTAATAAAAACATTTTTAGTCTTCTTAATACAGGACAAACATGAACTTTATAATGTATTTCAACATGTGAGAAGCATACTGTCTCAAGAAAGTGGCACTAAATGATAAATAAATGTTAGAAATGCAGTAAACAATACCGAACAAAACTTATAAAATCCAATCGCTTGTTTAACATCTTTAACAAATAGTTACATGGGAGGTTAATGCAGTTTATTCAAAATACCCATTCAATTTTGCATTAACTTCCAAAAAGATTTATCCTGATTACAGCTGGGTTTAACATTAAAATAAAATTAGAAACATGTATTATATCGATATAAGATATCGTGTTGAGCATTCAATTTGTACTTTCAATCAACTGAAATATCAAGAAGATTTTTGAACAACAACAACATAAAGCACTTCTGAAAAAGTGTGTTAAAATCATGGATAATAGTTACTTAGATTTTTCATGTTTTGGTAAGAAAATGTATACTAACCTGTCGCACAGAATTCCCCCGTATATCCGGCAACACACGTGCATGTATATTTATTGATCCCGTCAACACATGTTGCGCCATTCTCACATGCATGACCAACACATTCATTAATATCTTTATAAAATAAAATTATTAATCTATTTGTATTAAATAATTCAACATTTGCCAAATAATATGTCAATTCCTTTCACTCAGAATTTTCAGCTGTATTACTGTAAAAGAGCCGCGTCACGACAAAACCAACATAATGGGTTTGCGACCAGCATTAATCCAGACCAGCCTGCGCATCCGCGCAGTCTGATCAGGATCCATGTTGTTCGCTATCAGCTTCTCTACTTTTAATAGAGTTGGTAAGCGAACAGCATGGATCCTGATCAGACTGCGCGGATGCGCAGACTGGTCTGCATCCATGCTGGTCGCAATCGCACTACGTTGGTTTTGTCGTGACGCGGCTCAAATGATTATGATCGTTGTCTTTTTCGAATATAAACACGTGTAACAGTGTTTCATAAGGAAATGTATTAATATAGGTAACCAGTATTTTATTAAGAAAACGTATTAATATAGGTAACCAGTGTTTCATAAGGAAACGTATTAACATAGATAACCAGTGTTTCACTAAGAAAACGTATTAATATAGGTAACCATTGTTTCACTAAGGAAACGTATTAATAATATAGGGTAACCAGTGTTTCACACACAAAAAAAGAGGATCAGTGATCACATGTGTCGCCTCATGATGGCCAATTTCATGTTGGGACCAGTTTTGTGACAGACGGAGACGTGATCGGAGTAATGGCGACATAAATTCCTGTAAAGTTAGGATGAAATTGCCCCAGTAGTTTATGAGGAGTAGTGAGGACAAGTTTTGTGACTGACGGACATACAGACAGTGCACAACTAGACTTGGTACTGATCATTCCTGTAAAGTTTGGATGAAATTGCACCAGTAGTTTATGCAGAGTAGTCCGGACAAGCTTTTGTGTATCTGGCAACACACAGAAAAAAAAACACATTTTTATCAACATGTGCAACATGCGCAAGGACTTGAGCTACAGATCAATCCTGTAAAGTTTCATTGAAATTGCATTAGTGGTATAAGAGAAGTAGTCCGGACAAACTTTAAAAATAAAAATTATTAAAGGGCCATAACTCTGACAAAAATCATTGAACCGGAAAATGCTGATAATGTGCACAACTAGACTTGATACTGATCATTCCTGTAAAGTTTGGATGAAATTTCACCAGTAGTTTATGAGGAGTAGTCCGGACAAGTTTTGTGACGGACGGACAGACGGACAGACGGACAGACAGACGACGGAGAAGTGATCCCTATATGTCGCCACTATAGGCAGACACAAACCCAGAAATTCAACACAAGAAAAATATAAATTTAAGGAAAACGGAATTTTCACTCAAAGAATATATCAATGCCAGTAAGATAATTAATTTCCGTACGACTTGTATCAGAGACATATCATCATCACTACATGCACTTTTAAATGTTATACAATCCACATATACTTACTGTTCTGACAAAATATCCCATTATAACCATCGACACAGTCGCACGTATAGTCGTCTATACCATCAACACAAATAGCTCCATTTTGACACTGGTTAGTTTCACATTCGTCTATATCTGTTTGTAATGACATGTTACATTGTTACTGTTGTGTTTGTTTATTTAAAATTTATAAAGTCTCGAAAAAGTAGGTTCTTATAAGCAATTTAGCTTTAAAATGCAAAATAAAAGAAAAAAAGATTCCAGGTGAGATTCTGCAATAAAAGCTTTCAAAATTGAAAATAAAACAAAATCAACGCGATGTTCCCCAAAAGCACACTGATTCGCTTTGAAATATAGCATGCAGTATCACCCTGTCATAAACCATAACTTTTATAGCAAAAAATATTTACAATTAATAAGTCTCTCAGAGCATATCTTGTCAGAGATTTAAGTACTGTTTACGCTAGTTATTCATCAGATTGAAATGGTCTTGGAAGGGCAAATCAATTTATGTTGTGTCCAAGACGTGTTATGGTTCGTACTCCAAAATTTCTGAGTGACAAAATAATAGGATCGGACATTAAATACTTTAGAGCCTAAACACGTGCAGCACACGTGTAATTATATGTTAGAAGTTTATACATGTTATAACTTCTTTTTTACTTACTTGAAGTACAGAAGGTGCCTTCCCAGCCTGCGGCACAAACACATTCATAAGCATTAACTCGGTCAACACATGTAGCTCCATTGTTACATGCATGTGAGTCACACTCGTTGATATCTGAAACAGTTGAATCATGCATTTTACTAGTTTTCATTCGGCATAAGTCTACAAAGTCAATAAAATGTCAATAAAATGTGTACAAACATTTTGCGAATATAATACGCATATGGAATATGTTGACTTACAAACAAATTTAATCATGGTAAATTAGTATATCGGCATTCAACGTACCTTTGACAATTTATAAATTTGATAAGAATTGCCAGGATATCACAAATGCTTTACAAAGAAGTGCAAAATAAGCTTTCATTTAGAATTACAATAAGAAAAATTTCATATAATATATATTCGAGCACAGGTGAAACAGAAATGTTAATATCTTTCTTACCACAAGCACCTGACATCTAATATCCATTTCATACCTTCTTATATCTATAATAAACATGCTTATTATATATATAAAGAGGTAGGTTTATGGGGTGTGTGTTAAACGTCAGGCATCTGTGGTTGCTATCGTTTAATTTAACCAGAATCGTCAAATATGATGTAAATTTGTCTTTACTTATTCACAAATTAATGCTCTTTGATTGATTCACAAAAAATCAAAATCGGTTGGAATAGAAGATTTTTATATTTAATTTTCATATCATTTACGAAAATTGCCGATATGTTAGTATGACGTTTAAGTTGCCTTTTCCAATAATTCACAGATTGATTTTATATGGGTTACTCACTGGTTTGGCAGTTTTTGTCAGTATAACCTGCCACACAAACACAGGTATAGTCATTGACAGCATCTTGGCATGTACCACCATTCTGGCAAGGGGATGTAGCACAATCATCAATATCTGGAATGTTACAAATGACATGCTTTTAAATTTCTACCAAACAAAATGCAAGCGTCGGATTACCGAAAAGCGCATACACAAAAACACCACACATACTATATCCAAAAATTTAAAATCTGCAATAGAAATTATATGAACATAAGAGAATAAAGCTCACATTGACATCAGAGAACACAATGTACTAGGGACATAATTGGTTTTCTATTTTATGAAATGTCTTACAATATTCACGACTGGTTCGCATGATATTATTATCGATCGATTTCTATAAGAGGATGAAAATCTATACACGAAAATTACACAAATTTAGAATAAACTATAACACAATGTCTTGCATACATCTTATGTATCTTTCATCATTTTTAAACTACAAGCATACTTACTGGTAGCACATGTTTTGTCCGTATAACCCGCGACACAATTACAAGTGTAATCATTTATCTTGTCCACACATGTTCCTCCATTTGTACACGGATCAGCAGCACATTCGTCTATATCTGAAATCATTTCTCTATATTGAAGTTTTCATTGTCATCATTATGACCATCTTGTAACCAAAAAAACGCTCTAAAAATGTTCTATCATTAAAATAATAACCGACAACAATTGCTCAATGCATAAAAATATACAACTGAACGCTGTGGCTGAAGCAAGGCAACCCTTCTTGCAAGTAAAAGGTACTGTATAATATTCAAATGCATTTTTAGAACACACTCCTGGTTAGAAATGCCCCATAATCATTAAACCGTTACATTTTTACTTGTCAATTCACCTTCAGCACGGTTTGTATATATGATAAGAAAGGCAACACTTATTAAAGCAAAAGAAGATACAATACTAGTACAGGTATCTGGGGAAAAATGACACAGTGCCGAAAACACAGGATGAACATGCGACATAAAATATAAATATTTTGTTTCCAATATATTCTCAACACTCATTATATATGCATTTTATTTTCAACAAATATATAATAAGTCTTTAATCCATTGACCTCGCTTCATCATGCTGATATTCAAATTCATATCACAAACATCTCCAAAAAAAAGACCCAAAAAAAAGACAAAAAAACCTTCCTTTAAATGACCTTAACTATGTCACTAGACATTATAATAGAATCTTTATTCTCTTTATTTAAAACCAATTCAGTTATTCTGAATTAAATTTATAGTTGTTTTCGATTCAACAAGAATATTAAAATGCGACTGTGATATAATAAAATTATTTTATTGAAAATGTTCTTTTAGTGAAAACAATATTTCATTTTAAATTGTCTTCATGATCATTATTGATTGTATCGGTTAGTAAATGGGCTTTATCGCTTAACAAAAACACAATACGGAACACGGAAGGGTTGACAATATTATATATATAAATAAACAAATAACTGCTATTTGAATATAGACTTTATCCCAGACGTTTTTAAAATTATGTCAACAATCGATAAATATATATAGTATGCGTTCTATCGTGTATATTAATTTACAAAAGTGTTGATACTTAAAGCTATATTCTGCTCAAATTTGACATGAAAATTGTTACACTCTCTCTTTGTAAATATCAAATCAACGTGTTTCGACTTTCTACTACACACAATCATTTATTGGCCATTACTTTTCATCAAGCCTTCGGCTTCACATGTACAAAATAGCATTTCATTTTGAATTTATGGTTTAAGTCGCGTATTCAAAGGTTTAAATTTCCCGCTATATCACGGACATGCGCGTGACTACCGGAAGTAATAACCGGAAGCATGAAACACTTGTTTTTACTTTTTGTTTTGGCGTTGTGGTTGTCGCGTGTTCTTGAAAGTTTAAGTTACTTTAAAAGTTATTTTACGTTTAACCGCATTATTATGGCCCAAGAGGCTCTTCTCGATAGGATAGACCTTCATGCTTCGGGTGAGGAGGGAGATTTTTCTGGGTTTTCGGACCAAGAAATTACCGGTAAGAAAGAGAAAAAGTCTTCGGACAAAAACGGTTAAAATCCGTCGTGGTGGAGAAAGAAAATAAATCCCCTCGTGGTAAAGGCAAAAAACAGTCAGGTAAAACTTTGAATACTAATTCTTCGGAAATATCGGACAGAAATTTATCCTCGGATAAATTTGATTTGAAAAACTTATCTAATAAGGATATTGAAGGTCTTAGGACTCTTCTTGTATACAGCCTGTTGTTCAACAGAATCCTCAGTTTCTCCCTGATTGTGATAACTATGACTATAATGAGGATAATTATGATTATAATGGATGATGAATCTGTGAATGATAACTATTCTGCTGTTCCTGCAGCATTAAAAACCTAACCTTAGGGTGGAGGTTGCTGCCCAAGATGTTGATATTGAAGATACAGGGATTCGTAATCTGTCAAAAGATTTTTCTTCGGCTTTTGACGATGGTTGTACTGATAATAGACTTGAGTCGGATAGTGATACATGGGATCTTCCCAAATTAAAGATACCAGAGAAAGGTGAGCCAGTGAATGAGTCCTTGGCCAATTTAATTAACACGGCATTTACTGCCCAGTGTGACTTAGACTCTATTTTGAATAAGTACCAAGTACCTAAGAATTGTGACAGGGCCATTCCGCCCATTGTTAACCAGGAAATATGGAAAACATTAGACAAAAGAGCCCATTTTCAAGATAAGTTTATGGTGGACATACAAAATCTTGTGGTTTCGGCCTAGGTCCAGTTGTTAAGTTGCTTGAGTTTGTGAAAAAGAACAATCTTATGAAAAATGAGGCAAAATGTATCTTCTCTGACCTGTTTACTGTTCTGGGTCAGGTGCAATACAACCTCAGTTTGAGGAGGAGATATCTTATAAGACCGTATTTGAAGAAGAAGTATTCTTCATTGTGTAGTATTTCGATGCCTATAACAACCAAACTTTTTGGTGATGATGTTTCAAAAGAAGTCAAAAGTTGTGATGCTTTATCGTACATTGGTAAGGATTATACTTACAGCAATTATAGAGGTGTCCAGCGTAGACGCTCTGGTCGAGGATTTGTTAGCTCAAATTTTAGTAATTACGGCTACCAGTCATCTACATACAATCAGCGTTCTGGTTTTAGGACTAGACCGTATCCGTTACGTGGACAATCTTTCAAGATTGGTCTAGGCGGACGAGGAAGAGGTATGAGAAGAGGTGCCTTGGCTTCTGCTACAGCCAGTGCCCCAAACGATCAGGAATAAATGAAAGGGTAAGTCAAGTTGGACGTACACAGTATTTTTAAGTGTATGGAAAAAATTTACTTCAGATCCTTGGATCTTGAATGCAGTTTCGGGGTATAAGATAGATTTTAATGAAAATCCTTTTCAAAGAAGCATTCCTAATGAAATTCCTTTATGTTCAGATCAAAAAGCAATTGTTCATAATGAAATTCAAAATTTGTTGAAAAAAGGAGCAATTATTAAATCAGAATCAGAGATTGATCAATTTATTTCAACAATATTTATTGTTCCTAAACCTAATAATAAATTTCGACCAGTTATAAACTTGAGATTTTTAAATGAGTTCGTACAATATAGTGATTTTAAACAGGAAACATTTTCTATTGTTTTGGATTTGATTAAACAAAATGATTTTATGACAAAAGTTGATTTATCTGATGCATATTTCTCTATTCCTATACATCCTTCACACTGGAAATTTTTGAAGTTTTCATTCAATTCTATTTTATACTCATTTGTATGTTTACCATTTGGTTTGAAAATAGCCCCATATTTGTTTACTAAAGTATTATGTCCCATTTTTGCTTGGTTTAGACAGCAAGATATACGCTGTTCTTATTATATTGATGATTCTATTAATTTCAATGAGTTGTCACATGTGTGTTTGAATAATACGGTTACTATTACAAAGACATTACAGAGTTTAGGATTTACTATAAATGAGAAAAAGTCTGTACTAATCCCTTGTCAGAGAATTATTTTCTTTGGTCATATTATTGATACAGTTCAGTTCAAGGTATTTTTGACTGATGAAAAAGTACAGAAAATTATGTCGAAAGCATAGTCTAGACAGTTGGCATCTTTTATAGGTGTGATAGTTAGTTCTTTTTATGCAATTTTAGAAGGGCCACTACATTATAGAGCCCTTGAAAGAGACAAGTTGATAGGTTTAGGTCAAAATATGAATTTTGATAATAAAGTTAGTTTGTCTACGAAAAGTATTCAAGAAATTCAATGGTGGTTAAAAAACGTGAAGAATAAAAATGGTAAAAGAATCAGGCCTATTTCTGTATCCAGAAGGTGTTTTACAGATGCGTCGATGGAAGGTTATGGTGGAATAGACCTGATTTCTGGCTTGCACACACAAGGCAGATGGAAAAATCAGGAATGTGGTTATCATATTAATTATTTGGAACTCCTTGCAGTTTTTTACTGCATGCAAGCATTTTACAATGAATTTTGTGATACTCATATTGAGATTCATTCAGATTCTGTTTCAGTGGTAACTTACATAAATAATTTTGGTGGTATGAATTCTTTGGAATTAGATGACCTTTTAAAATGTTTATGGGAATGGTGTTTAAGTAGAAATAATATATATTTCTGCTGTACATGTCCCTGGTAAATTAAATAAAAGTGCTGATTATTATTCTAGAAATTTTTCAGATTCCACTGAATGGACATTGAAAAAGATATTTTTGAAAGATTATGTAGACACACATTTATGCCTAACATAGACCTTTTGCTTCTAGACTTGATAATCACTTACCTAAATTTGTTTCATGGTTTCCCGAACCAGGGGCTTACGCAGTTAATGCTTTTTCATTATCATGGAAGGATATGATACCATACATCTTTCCTCCATTTAATTTAATTGGGAAAGTACTAAATAAAATTGTTATTGATGAGGTTGATAGAGCTCTAATGGTTGTTCCTTTTGGTTCACACAACCTTGGTTCCCTATTCTACTTGAAATCCTTTGTGATTTTCCTATCAGGTTACCCAGACACAGAGATCTTCTAGTTTTGCCGCACAATGGAACATTACACCCATTAGGAAGAAAATTAAAAATGATTGGAGTGGTGTTATCAGAGAAAGCCTGCAGAGTAAGGGAATTTCATCAAATGTTGCAGATTTCATCGCAGAATCTTGGTCATAGGGCACAAGAAAACAGTATAGCAGTGCCTGGAAAAGATGGTATATGTGGAATTCTATTAGATGTTCCAGTCCAATTTTTGTTCGTCTGAAGGTGTAGTCGTGAGTTACCTGTATTTTTTATTTCAATCTGGTATGTCTTATTCGGTTATAAATCTTCATAAAGCGATGTTAATGCAAACATTGTCCTTACTGGGAAATACATGGTGTAGTGACAACAAAATGATTGTAAGATTCATGAGAAGTGTATTTTTACATAAACCGGCTAAACCGCGTTATATAATGATTTGGGATTTTCTGTTGTTTTGTGTTATTTACAAAAGTTAATGCCATTATCTAGGTTATCTTTGAAATTATTAACTTTTAAAACCTTAGCCTTGATTGCTCTTGCAACTGCACCAAGAGCTCAGACTTTGTGTTCTTTAACTTTAGACAATATGTTTATTCAACAACAGGCAGTAGTTTTCACATTCACGGATATTTTGAAGACATCCAAGACAGGTCAATATTACTCTATAAGGACAGAGCATTATCTGGAAGAAAATATATGTCCAATGCATACTCTACTTTATTATGTTAAAAAGACTGCTGATGTTAGAAAAAGTAAAAAGGTGTTTGTTTCATATGTTACCTTTAATGCTGTTTCTTCGAGCACTTTGGCAAGATGGTTAAAAAATGTGTTAAGTTTAGCAGGGATTGATATAACTAAATATAAGGCGCATTCTTATAGAGGAGCAGCAGCTTCGGCTGCCTATAATAAAGGATGTTCAATAAGGGAGATTTTAAAAACTGCTGATTGGAAATCATCTAAAAAATTTCATATTGTAGAAACTTAGAATCTGGTATTTCTTATAATGATGCTGTTTTTGGAACATAGAATATTTTTTGGGGTATTAAACTTGGAAAATATTTGTTTTTTGTTGCCTTTAAAGGTGCTATTTTGTACATGTGAAGCCGAAGGCTTGATGAAAAATAATGGACCCCCATCCAAGCTTTAGTGCAGGATGGAGAGCATTATTTGAATAAAGCCGGAGGCTGAGCATGTACAAACCCTCCCTTGTGTATAGTATCATAGTATGTGATTAATGTCTTATTATATAATATAGAGAGGTTTTAACCCTCCCTTAGTTGCTTTATTGCAACAAAAAACACTCTTTAAATGAGTGAAAACATGTGTTTCATGCTTCCGGTTATTACTTCCGGTAGTCACGCGCATGTCCGTGATATAGCGGGAAATTTAAACCTTTGAATACGCGACTTAAACCATAAATTCAAAATGAAATGCTATTTTGTACATGCTCAGCCTCCGGCTTTATTCAAATAATGCCCTCCATCCTGCACTAAAGCTTGGATGGGGGTCCATTTATCCACAACTTGTGTTTGTCATAAAAAATCTTATCTAGTAGTATATCAATACACGAGTTGAAGTTACAAATCAACATAATACATATAATAAATAAATAATATATATACAGCATAAATTAACATTTAATTTTACAATGACATTACTTATTATCATAAAATTTTACTACGTCGATTTTTAATAAAAAGCAAATTTAATTGACAATTAATTTATTTCTTGTTCACATACACATCGTTATCACTATTCGTTATTCTTATTATCACATTATTCTTTAATAAGCTCTTTGCACATTTTGTCAAGTATATCTGTACAACAATTTAACAATAAATTGAATCTATATAACAATTAATTAACAAAAAAGTTCATATTTTTATGTACAAAAAAAAATGTTACATGAACATGTAAGCTAGATGTATGCGTAAAATCAATACTACTAATTGTAAAACAATAAACGATAAATTAATGAACCTAATCATGACTACTTACTATTGTCACAGAAAGTACCGTCGTACCCAGCCACACAGACACACGTGTATGTATTTATGCCATCAACACAAGTGGCGCCATTTTGACACGCATGTGACGCGCATTCGTTGATGTCTGAAAGAAACTCGAACAGTTTCTAAATCAATCTCATTAGTTTCAGCATACATTTTTATGTTTTCATAAATACAAATAGAACCTAACTTCTACATATCCCTAACGAGGTGTGCTCGTCACGGAGAAGTCACACGGCAGATCAAAGTCAAATCTCCGTAAGTACCCAGGATTATTTGTAAACCTATCGTGGCTGACTCGGAAGAGTGATTCTAAAAAGAGTCGTTTTGTGGAGAGAAAAAAACACACTCATTGGATGATGATGTCGTTATCACCTTTACCACTTAGTGTTGAAACGTGGCTGGTAAGAATAAAGTTATTTGAGTAAGTAACAATTTTAAATTTACATAAACTAGATACATGTCAAATATTCAAGGCTCACTAAAATAAACAATATATTCAATTCTGCGTTTGTTCAATATACATGAAGAAAGGGATGGGTTTCTATGAGCATTAAAACTATGAAAAAAGTTAAAATTCTGAACGGCAATAAATATTTCAATTTTTCTATATTAAATAATCATTTGTATCATGTATTTAAACAATAGCTACATAAAATTACATGTTATTTATAACGTTATTTATTCTTCGGATCAAAAAAAAAGAAATTAAAATAAAAAATTTCAAGATACTAGTAATCAAGACTTTGCTAATATGATTCCAAAGTCAACTTACTGTTTTGACAGAAATTTCCGTCATACCCCGCCACACATGTACATGTGTACTGATCTATACCGTCGACACAGGTGGCTCCATTTTGACAGACATTTCCAATACACTCATTGATGTCTGAAAAGCAAATAAAAAATCAGAGTTTTCTTTGCATAATGGATATTGAAAAGAGATGTCAACGTTAACTAGTACTTTTCCTACAAGAGACTCAATTAACATTTCGTTTACTTCCGTTTAAGCTATCATTACTGTATTTAGTGTTTTGAATATTTCATGCATTACTTTATATACTATTTTTCCAATATAATAGATGAATATGCTTATTATTCTCATTTTGCTATTGGCCGCCTGTTACTAAATGTATCACTCTCTTCGCATTTAAATGTAAAAAAAAAACGAATTATTATTATTATTATTAATTATTATTATTATTATTAGACATTGATGTGGATTCTATTTAAAGATTTAATATTTTCATTTGCTATAATTTTAAGTTTACGCATAAAAACTTCTTCAGTCTCTTCAAAAGTTTCAAAAAATTTAAAGACTGGTTCTAATGATAACTATCTTATGAATGGTTTACTCCTTGTACTACTTTATCCAAAGCAGGACTTTGTCAATCACCAGTCAACCACAAAATTCCCTTCGTGATTATATAGCGAAATCTCTTGATAGAAAGAAGACTGTGATAGGTAAAATAATGACAAAGTACAGCAAGTAAATGATAACAAAGACATACTTTATTTGGAAAAAGTAACAATGCACTTACTGGTCTGACAGTTATTCCCTTCATATCCGGCAACACAAGTACACGTGTATGCATTAATACCGTCAACACAAGTAGCGCCATTTTGACATTGATTCGGTGTACACTCGTCAATATCTGTAAATAAATTTGCAACAAAAATGTCATACAAAAAACTTAAAATATCATTCTAAGTTGGAGTGAACACTTTTCCAAATTTATTTGGAATAAGGCATTTCTTCGTAGAAACACATACATAATGTGCACTATCATTTCAAGCTTAGGGCGAAAATGTAAAAAAAAAAACATTTCAAAATGTAATATAGCATTTTCACAAAGATCTACTTACAAATAATATGAAACATCCTTCTTAGATAAAAGTGCATCATTTTTGATACTCTTTGAAAATACTTTTACAAATTAAACTGCTGTCAGTTCTCAATGTCATAAGCACCTGGAAGCAATTATCCGTCAATGACAAAACATCTTAGAAAACTTTAAATTGCAATGTTGGCTGATAGAAGTCAAACCATTTTTTTTTTTGCATTATTTCAACACTAAGTGTATGAAATAAGTTTACGCTCTTCGATTACCAAAACAAAAATCACTTACTATTTTCACAATTGTCTCCATTATACCCGGGAAGACAAGTACAGGTGTATGCATTGATGCCATCTACACAAGTTCCACTATTTTGACATTGATTTGGTGTACACTCGTCAATGTCTGAAAATAAAACGAGGCGTTGAAATAATTAACGAGTTGGGAAGCGGTTAAATTGGGGAAAGGTTTACATTGCTGGGGAATGTGCATAGTGTAAGAGTAGTATACTAATAGTTTGTACTATGTTTATAAAACTTAATATAAGCAATAAATAGTCTGATCTTAAATCTCACAAAGCGGCAACATTAGGTATTCCAATCTTAATACTACAGCACCTGTTAAGGAAAAAGGTTCTATGCTACTAACCTACACCTTCATACTCATTGTCATAATAAATATTACACTATTATATTAGTAGCCGTTTGTTTTGTAATGTACATTATTCACTTACATTTCGTCTATCAGCCACAACAATGTAACTCTATTCAATACAGAACACTATCTTAATCGTGTTCATTTACACGAGCGGATGCGCATATTGAATTATTAAATGCTGATCATGAATATATACATATACATATAAATATACTAGTAATATACTAACTATTTTGACAGTCGCCACCATCATAACCAGGTACGCATGCGCACGTATACTGGTTAATTCCATCTGAGCATACACCGCCATTTTGACACGGGCTTCCAGCACATTCATTGATATCTATAATACATTATTTCGTTGCATACATATTTCTATATAATATTTCAAGCTATATATGAATAGTGAAGATTACATATAAAAATTGTAGAGAACTTACAAAATATATTTGGCAATATAAATCGGATATACCAATCATATGCCATTCAAGTCATGAAGCAATACAGATGTTAGTAAACATTGATTTACATTTGATAATCTTGTTCTTATCAAGCTGTAAAGTAAGGAAAAGGCTTAAAATTCAATTGAAAGGTCATATTCAGTGACCAATGGTTAATGTAGACTCAAGCCAGTAGGAGCAAAACACAATGGCATGTAGATCTAAACTATGTGGTACTGTATTATTAGCAACTGTTCTTATAAAAGAAAGAAAAACGAAACATCTTGGTTTATGATACTATAAAACAACACTCACTGTTTTCGCAATCATTGCCGTCATATCCGGCAACACAGGTGCAAGCATAGGATGCTATTTGATCGACACAGGTAGCCCCATTTTGGCACGGGTTTGTAGCACACTCGTTTATCTCTGAAAAACAAATCATTGTTATACTAAACTATCACCATATTCTTCACAACTACCATCTGGCCATGAAACGTTAAAAGATTAATCCGCATACTTATTTCTAAATAAAAATTTGATAATAATACTTATGTAATTTATTTACTACATTTACTAGATTTAGATGCATCTGATATTTTATAAATATGTACAAGTAATGTATTTTATGGAATGTTTTACCAGAACATGCTAATCCAGTTCCGTCATCTTCATACCCTGCATTACATTGGCAAGTTGAGAACGCCACACATCCTCCATTTGCAATGTTGCTACACTGAAATATGTTTGTTGAGCAGGCATCCCCTAACTCAGCTGAAAGAGAAAATTATTAGAAACTGATACATAAAACTCAACGGTTATATGAAAACTGTAAATGAAAACCCCGAGTCATATTTGAATGATTCTGATTAGGTTCTTGAATATCAAAAGTATTTATTTTGTAAAATCCGGCAACCCTTGGTGTAAAGATAAATTGTTAGATAAGTAGCTTTTAAAAGCAGTGAAATGAAGTTTAATAAACGATCTCCACCCACCTGGTTCACATGTTGGTGCAGCACCATCCCAACCAACGTCTTGCTGACAAGTTCGCGTTGCCGTGCCAACAACCTTGAATGTGCTAACACACGTGTATTGTGCAGGATCGCCAGTATGTGTACCGGCTGGTGTGCTAACTGCGCCATTGTCTGGGTCAGTCAAAGCACCACAATCTACAAATGTATATGAGTTCTTTACTAAACTTAATATACCATGATACTAGTATAAAATATTTTTCATTTGAAAATCCTGAGTTACTGAAAATCCTGAGTTACATAGTAAAATTTGACTGACCAAAAAAAATGCAAAACTGACTACTTTTTTTTCACTTAATCTTGTTATTTTACTGACAATATTTTCATCACAATTATCACATTACGATGAAAAAAAGACAAAGAAGGCCATAAAATTTATAACATAAAAAACAATTATGTAATTGATACTAGTGATAATTAGACAAAACATCCCACACTTTGCCACAAACGACCATTCAATAATAAAAGGATTGCATTACCTATAATTCATATGGCAAGATTTTGTGTCTACATGAAATAAATCAATTTTAGCTCTACGATCGCATCAATATATATGCTGTACACATATCTTTAATGAAAACTTCTTGAATAATGTTGAATCATCCTTAGGATATATTGCCTGCTTTTTAACTAGTCTTTTCACGTTTTATCTGTGATATGCAGGCTTCATAACCTCTGATCCCCTTTCAAAATTCCATTTTATTTAGTTCCGCCCATTGTTTTCTCGTTTAGGGCACACGCTTGTTTACGGTGTTCCGTTTGGACACGTTTGGACAATCGTGACATTTTATTTATTCTGTACCCGCGATGCACGATGGTACGATGGTGAAAACGCGATGGCACGATGGTACGATGGTGAAAACACGATGGTACGATGGTGAAATCACGATGGTACGATGATGAAATCGCGATGACGCGGTAGTACGATGGTGAAAACACGATGTTACATAGCGTTTTCACCATCGTACCATCGTGATTTCACCATCGTACCATCGTGTTTTCACCATCGTACCATCGCACCATCGCGCTATCGTGTTTTCACCATCGTGCCATCGCGCTTTCACCATCGTGCCATCGCGATTTCACCATCGTACCATCGCGATTTCACCATCGTACCATCGCAGTTTCACCATCGTACCATCGCGTTTTCACCATCGTACCATCGTGTTTTCACCATCGTACCATCGTGCCATCGCGTTTTCTGTATTCTGTACCCGCGCTTTCACCATCGTGCCATCGCGATTTCACCATCGTACCATCGCGATTTTCACCATCGTACATCGCGATTTCACCATCGTACCATCGCGGTTTCACCATCGTACCATCGCGTTTTCACCATCGTACCATCGTGTTTTCACCATCGTACTATCGCGCCATCGCGATTTCACCATCGTACCATCGTGATTTCACTATCGTACCATCGTGTTTTCACCATCGTACCATCGTGCCATCGCGTTTTCACCATCGTACCATCGTGCATCGCGGGTACAGAATAAATAAAATGTCACGATTGTCCAAACGTGTCCAAACGGAACACCGTACTTGTTATTACTTGGGGACCATACGCCGCTTTTCATGGAATGGCACGGAAGTGTCACATTAAAGGTTCCATGATAACCGCCGTATGAACACATCTGCGGATGTTTCTGGATTCAAAATTTTACCATTTCATTGTTTAATTGTTTGGGGGAAATTTTTTTTTTTCTTTTGCTTTTGCTTAAAAAGGGGGGGCCGGTGGGCTAGGGGGGCACGACCGGGAGTTTTTTACTTTTAACCTAAGTTACCCCCCACCTATAAAAAAAACAGGCTCAATCAAACCGAGCCTGCAACATTTTCAATCTTGACGTGTTGGGCTTTCTTTAGGGATTCTTATTTTCTCTATTCTTAAACAAAGTTTTCATCCGTCAAAGAATAAAACATACTTACTGTACTCGCAAGCGACGTTGGTGGCTGTTGCTGTGTACCCGGCAGGACATTCACATAGCAAGGATCCCAAATTGCAATACGAGTTTGGAAGGAAATTTGGACAATTCGCTTGTGTTGCCACAGTACATCCTGAAATGATTTCATCAATGATAAAAAACGAAATACCGAAATGTTGAGAATATCAAAAACACTCACTTGTACTCATTAGAGGCAAACACAACATGGAAAAGTACATGTTTGGTTTGATTTCTTCTAATTAGCCCTAGAAAAATGGTGATAAATTCATTTAACAAAAAATCATTGAACGTATGGTTATCACTCACAATTTTGAATATATTTTCTTAATATCTTATAAAAGAGATTCCAAATTAAGGTAGGAAATTACACATAAAAATTAAAGAAGTGGTTACTGTTGTCTATTTAACGTGCGTGTACTATTGTAATATTACAGAGTTCTGTCATTCACTTATGTGAGTAAAGAGAAAAAAATATGTCAATCAATCAATCAATCAATCAATATCAATCAATCAATTATATAACTATGCAAAAGTCAAGGTTCATGTTAATAATATCTTAATATTTTTCATCTTAAATTTTCTTATCAATATTTGAACTTAGAAATATATATTACCTATATATATATACATTTTCATTTGGTTTATACAAAATTTATTTTAGTTCGATTTTATAGGGAGCTATAAGTTTTTTGAAACACTTTCGAATCCTTCCTGGAACCAACCAGTACTGTGCAATGAGTGTAAAGTTTCTTGCTCAAGGAAACACTGGCATGCCCCTCTATGGGTTTGAATGCATGCGGATAGCGATCATTAGATTACTAGTACGACGCGTTAACCACTCGGGCATTCCACCACTTACATTTTCATCATACATACATTGTCAAGTCCTAGTTTGAATAATAATAGAAAAGTTCAATATGTGCGTACTGTTCTCTTCACTGTCAATTACAATTCCATTATGTAATTTTGTTATTCGTGTACAATGTATCATTTAGTCTTTCATTATTTATAATACGCCAAAGTAGGTGGGATGACTCGAAAGTTTACTTGTCTCTTACTTCCCTTTCCAATTGTTTCGGCAAGGGATATCTAACTTATTTAGGCCTGACATACCAGAGGTAATAAATCCATCAGATTGTTTATGTTTGGTTTGAACTTTCTTTGAATGCCTTTACACATACAAGCAAAAGAAGTTAAATTTTTTTCGTAAAAAGGTCCCCAAATTTTTCCCAATTTTTTAGGGGGGCTTTATTGAATGTTATGGTCTGAATGTTTCATGTGAGAGTCTTCATTCTCTAGCAAAATCTAAGAAGTTTTCTAATAAGCTGTGGTAGATTGTCAGTCACAAGTATGTCACTAATGTTATGTGTATTTAAGCAATACTGTTTATTGTATGCATAAGTGTGTGTTTCAAGTTTCACGGATGATAAAGAAGGTTCAATAAAAGCCTCGCCTATATATATACAAAATGAACCATCTTCTCATGAGCAAATGTTGACGAAAATTTGTTTATTTCTATTAACGATAACTTTGTTACCTACCTGTCACTCCAATTTGTCCATAAACTTTAACAACACAATATCCAAGGAAAAATAACAAAACTCTTTCCTTCATCTTCTTTTTTCAGGACTGTTATCCACGTCTTACTTTCTCTCAAAGAGTATTTTTCACATCACATATGGGTCCAAAAAGATGGATTTAAACTACTTTATGAATATTTGAAAAATACCAAAATTATTTCGAAACTCGAAAGACAGACCCACATAACGTGTTAAAATATTTAAATCTGGCAATAAAGTGCGACAATGTTTTTCAGCGCTTTATTTTTGACAATAGATTAAATGTTTCGCACATCTTCAACAAGGCAAATGTCATCACAATTAACGATCAATTGGCATAAAACAAAAGGACTAAAGAATTTATCACAAAATTGGCTACCTACCCCTCGAACAAGCAGACTATCTGATAGGCACAGTTGTTTACAGGTATTGAGTGGGTAATGTTTAATTCAATCAGCTTGAATGCCATTTAGACCATTTAAATCATTTATCTCCTTAATCAATGTCATGATACATAATTGAGGCGAATAAATTGTTCAGACTTTAAATTTGGTGTGATAATCTTTAATTGGATCAAATATGTTATGAAGGATTGAATTAGGATTATAATAACATGAAGCATTTATATAACAAATTTCACAGGCGATATCCAATTTTTGCACGAACATTTTAGATAGTATTTTGACCATAATTTTGTCATTCAATATCTAGAAACTATTCAAGTATGCAATGGGAATATATCTGTAAATAATAAAATTATCAATAACATGATATGTACCAGATCAATTCTTTTTAACTCGATTTGAAATTAAATAGACTTTCCTTTTGAAGTTCGTTTGACTCCCAATTAAACCAACCGTAATAAATTTCATAACTCTGTAATATACTTGAGTTGCCTGATTATATATACTCATCTTTGAAATTGTATGTAAAAAAATGTTTCAAAACAGGTCTGTTTAACTCCCCAAAGTAAAGGCGCCCCCCAACTTGGCTTGGTTTGGGGGGACCCAACTTTCAAAAAAAAGTGGGGGACCTTTTTAAAACCTTTTTTTTTTGCCCCCCCCCCCCGGGCCCCCGGGGGCGGTTTATTGAAATGGCCCCCCCAAACCGGGGGGGGACATATACAGCTATGGTGCAAGAAGCAGCCAACACCGCGTCTTGTTCCGAAGCTCCCAAAGTCTCCCTGAACAAAACCGTCCTCCCGGAAAAGTGTCGCCTTTTGAACGCTTTTGCACCCAGCTCTCCTCTTTATAGATTTGAGCCTCTTCATCGCCTTTGCTAGCTATATAACATTTGCCCGATAAAGCTTGACAGTATCAAACCCAGTAGGAAACGAATCAGCTCTCCGTATAAACTGGTTACTTTTTTTAATTTGCTCGGTATATATATCAATATATAGTTCGTTTGAATAGTCGGCCTCCGCATGTTTAATGTATTATAGCCCCGTTTTATACAGATATTGTATGTTGTTGTATGTTGTTGCTTTCAAAACCCCACACAAGTTCACAATCGGTTCAATAGGACTGTATTGTACCTGTCTACATCTCTCTATGAGCGTTATTTCTTCCATAACATCTTACAGCTTATCTTGGATATCATGCAATGTTGTCATTTTCTATTGTCCATTTATTTTCTGTACATTTATTTATTGAGTGGTCAAACCAGAACCCAAAGCTGGAGTGACTTGGTTAACATTAATTGAGTATGCACAAACCTTCGTCACCTGGTGAAATACATACAATAAAAAGATAAATAATTTCCGTTCTTATTCAGAATTCAAAGGCTTCCATTCTTAAACTGAGGTACAAGTCTTATTGCGCTGTTTTTATTTGTACTTTTTATTTGTACTTGCCATTCATTTGTTAAGACTACTTATGGAATCAGCCATGTTGTTGAATTTGTCAGGGACAATTTCTAGATATATGTTTTCAGAAACAGATTTAGTCATTTATTTTTATTCGCCAATTAAGGCACTAAAATAGGTCAGACCCGTCGCCACTCATGCCCCTAAAGGTTCAATTTTGAAGCAACAAGTGGTGATAGCTTACCATCGTCAAATTTCCACAAAGTATTACTAGTAGCCAAAACTTTGAATTCGAACTGAAAGTAGGTAACTGTACAGCGGGCAATAAGCAGTTACGTGTGACAATAATGAAAGAGGTAGCTATGATTAGGGCGCTTAGTCCGAAGCAAAGGGTCGTCTCCCTTTCAAATGGTCAGTGCGAACTAGTGCCTCATGCACCCTTCCTCGTCGCCCTTTACTGTAGGATCACGGCATTCGGCTTCAGTCACATCGGCAGCTGGAAAATGCGGGATAGGCGTTACTCCAGCTCGACTTTAATCTCTAGGATCTCCCCTTTACCTCTAAAACAAAGATTGGATCTTAACCAGTCAGCAGTGACCTCGATGAAGCAACTAAAGTTTGACCAAGCTCAAAATCTTCAGTGGATGCGCGTTCCTCCGGACTACGTATACGTACCTACGTACCGAGGGGATAAGTTATGGTTTTCTGATATCGTCTAAATTTGTTTTTCTTTTGATTTTGGGTTTTACGTCACATCGACACAGTATAGGTCATATCGCGACGTTCCAGCTTTACTGGTGGAGGAAGACCTCAGGTGCCCTTCCGTGCATTATTTCAGGCACGAACGGGTACCTGAGTAGAACCACCGACGTTCCGTAAGCTAGCTGGATAGATACCGTCTTAATGAATAGCTTCCTAATTTCTTTACAACTTAGTAACAGTGTAACAGAAACACAATATTTGTATCTTTGTCGATTTTGTTGTGATCGTCGACGTTTGAAAATCTTTACATTGACATATAGACAAACAATAACCGTTGGCAGACGAACAATATGATTAGACGCTTTATTTTGGACAAAATATGAACCCTATAATGAGAAGATTTGTCTTATAACTATATTTAATTAAATAAATTTTGAGATATTCAAATCGATAAGAGAACATTTAAGACATGAAACAGTCTTTTCCTAGTTGGGTCACGGACGTGTTCTGGCACTTCATGGGAAACAGAACCCGAAATAATATTATTGTTTTATCGCATAAATTGACAATCAAACGAAACAGATTTTGTTCCGGATTTTCCTTCGTTTGGTCGCATCAACACAGAAGTCATATGGCGACTTTCTAGCTTTACTTGTTGTGGAAGACCTCTGTGCATTACGGGTACCAGAGTAGAACCACCGACGTTTCGCAAGATGGCTAAAGTTTCCTCACATGATAAAACACAAAGTTCCTGGCGGGATACGAACCACAAACGGGCAAGTGGTTTGAAGTCAACGACCTAACCTAAGACAAATAAGACAGTCACAGATAAAATGTGTAACAACAAAATCTTGGTTGTCAGTATGTTTTATTGTAAAAAGTATACAAATTAAAAAGTTATGTTTATTAATCTTTATAATAAAATATACATGTATCATACAATTTCATTAAATGTCTTGCCAAACACTCTAGAATTTCAATAATTTTCTAACAATTAAGAACTGTACGTTTTTGCTACTTTTTATGTACATATTAAGACATATAACTTGTAACAATAATATGAAATTTCAAAATAATCCTTTTTTTAATCTACCTGTTAATTTAACAAAGAAGTCTCACATTATTTTCATCAAAATCTCCAAAGCATATTTCTTTTTTATGTTTCAATGTTGTTTCATTTACAGAGCAGAGAAATGTTAGACTAGAATGTAAGATATGCATTATATCACTAAACTTTCAAATATGTCTTTAAACACAACCTGTACGTATATTTTTTCACTTTTAATGCACATTTTTTATTTGATTTTTCTCTCCTTTTTTCACTTTTTAATAAATCCTTGACTTATGTTTTTTTTGTTTCGTTTTTTTCACTTTTAATTCATCCTTTACTCATAAATGTTTTTTCCCCCGTTACTCATGTTTTTTTTTTTTTTTTTTTTAAGTAAATCCTTCGTTCAAATATGTTTTTATTTTTTCACTTTTAATACATGCTTCATTTGTAGATGCATTTATTTTTGAAAACAGGAAAATGTCTTAATTTTAGATAACACTTGTAGGTAAGATCCTGGGCACTCTGTCTTCATTTTCTGAACATTGTCACAGGAAAAAGTATGTCCTATGTGGGCATAAGCACTCCACTGATGTTTCTGTCCGTTTCTTTAAAACATATCTGAAATGAGAAAAGAAAATTATTCTTAAAACTGATAAATGCATGAAAATGTCATTGGAATGCAGTTCAGTCCTGTAACCTGCTGAATTTGTTAAATGGGTATGTCCAGCTTCTATTTTAGACAGTGTCCACTATCAATTTTAGGAATGTAAAGTTGAAAATTAAAAGAAGCTCCACCGAGGTCCAAAAGTCTAACTTAGTAACTATAGGTAGTGTTTTAAAAGTTTTTGTTTCCTTCGAAATTCGTTGTAAACTTTGATCTCTAATTACCATGACCAGTAAGATTAAGTAAATACTAGAAATGTGTCCATAGGACACGGATGCCCCCACAAGCCACTGTTCTGTCAATCTTATGACTCTAGGTCAAATATTTTTTGGACTACATGTGCCACAAGTTGAAAACTAAAAATCAACAAAAAAAATAAGGGCCATAATTCTGTTAAATTTGGTCGCACCAAAAAATTCCTTCCTTTACTACCATCTACACATTAAGGTTGTTCATCCCTGGAAGTTTAAGCAAAATCTGCCATCCGGTTTAAGAGGAGTTGCGTTCACAAAATTTTTACATAGTATATAGTGAAAAAATAAACAAAGGGCCATAATTCTGTTAAATTTGGTCGCAGCAAAAATTCCTTCCTTTACTACCATCTACACATTAAGGTTGTTCATCCCTGGAAGTTTAAGCAAAATCTGCCATCCGGTTAAAGAGGAGTTGCGTTCACAAAATTTCTACATAGTATATAGTGAAAAAATCAACAAAGGGCCATAATTCTGTTAAATTTGGTCGCAGCAAAAATTCCTTCCTTTACTACCATCTAAACATTAAGGTTGTTCATCCCTGGAAGTTTAAGCAAAATCTGCCATCCGGTTTAAGAGGAGTTGCTTTCACAAAATTTCTACATAGTATATAGTGAAAAAATCAACAAAGGGCCATAATTCTGTTAAATTTGGTCGCAGCAAAAAATCCTTCCTTTACTACCATCTACACATTAAGGTTGTTCATCCCTGGAAGTTTAAGCAAAATCTGCCATCCGGTTTAAGAGGAGTTGCGTTCACAAGATTTCGGGACGTAGGGACAGACGGACGGACGTACCAAAATTTGAGGTTTATGAGGCAAATGAGCTCATAAACACCACCTGGACCAACGTCCATAAGCAAAATAAGCTCATAAAAACAAACAATAGCTCTTAATTTTAAATTTTATGAGTTTATGTTCTTTATTTAACTACGGAATGAAGCTCATAATAATCAAATGTTGGCTCGGACTGACGGACGGACAGACGTACGGACACTCGGACGGACAAGTGCAACGCTATATGCTCCCACTCTGTGGCGGCATAATAATACTACCAATGCAGAATGTGTTCTCAAGCGATAATCTGAAAAAGTGCCAATTATGGCAATAGGTTAACAACTAATACTCTCTAAACCAACAACTGTACAGACTATTTCATTATAAAGCTAAGCAGATCTCAAGAAGCTTGCTGCAAGTTTCTTAAACATTTTGTAGTTTTTGTAAAGTTTCAATGAAATGTTAATCAATTTCCTTACCACTATAGCTTCTCAATACTTACCATCAAAGCTTCTCAATAGTATCTCCCTTTTGTTTTTCTTCCAACACTGCTTTCTGCTTCTAATCTATTCTTCAGCTAGTAGCAGCAGCTCAGTAGTCAGTATACATATACATACAAATATATGTAAAAAGATGTGACATCTGACACCCTATGACGGTACCACCACTCCTAGTTCTTCCTTAAAGATACAAAAAAAACGTTGTTCTAAACAGTGCTAAAATGTTATTTTTCTGCATAAATACCTGATAAGTCATCAACATGAAGTTGTTAGCCTTAACCACCAGTATAGAGCCACAACAACCAGCTGTTGGCTCCTCTTTGTTATGTATACTAATACTGAAATGCCCTAAAATTTTAATTAAATGTTCCAATTTAAAATCTGGGCAAATTCATTAAACGAATTCAGCAGGTCAAAGGTTAATACAAGAACAACACATGTATAAAGACCCAGAATGTTGGCAACTTAATGACTTTCTTTAGATACTAGTATTTAGGTAGACCTGTCTGCACAGTTTTAGAGTAAGATCTAACTCTTTACTGTTGGTTGTTGACTGAAAAAAATTCCAGCGTTACTTTTGGCTGAAGACCTTTCATGCCCTATAGCCACCCTTGTAGAACCACAGATGTTCCATACAATAAGCTAGATGGATAGTTACCTCATATGAAAGATTCTTAAGTCCCAGGTTGGATTCCTTAACACAGTTGTGAGTGACAAATGGTTTAAAATCAAAACCTTTACCACAGACAACTGATGCCCCATCAATGTCACATTAAACCTTCTAAATGCAGCATTCACAAATTGCGGCAGAAACAATTCATGTTAAAGAGTTAAACATAGTTAAATTTTCATTATATATCAATTTATCTTATTTACAGACATATTTCAAGTCATTAATTCATTTTGTTGTTTATTTACCTTTTATACTAAAGATATCTGCAATGCCATCTTCTGCTTGATTGCTATCTTTGTTTGGTTCTCGATAAAATTGAAAATTTAAACGCCCCAACTGTATTGGGGGGTGAATCTGACCCTTTTTAAGTTAAAAATGCCCCTAAATCCTCCCCAAAAAATTTTTCCTTTTTTAAAATTTAAAAATATGTAAAGTTGAAAAAAAAATTAAAAAACTGGTTTTTAATTTTTAATATTTTTAAATCAAAACTTTTAAATTCATTTACAAAATTTGATTACCAAAAACAATTAAATTATTAAATTTTTTATATGAACATATTGGTTTAGTTTTAAAAAATTTTTATTTTTGTTTTGGAAAAAATTTTTAATAGTAACTCAAAACAGATCAAATTCACAATGTTCCTTCTGCATATTTGCTATCATAAAACATCTTCATACAGAACTGTTCCATGTAAAAACTAGAAATGTGTCATCATGCCACGGATGCCCCCGCATGCAGCCAAAATTTCAAATGTTATAATATTTAGTTCCAAATTTGTTTGCACAAATTATTTTTTTCATTCTAAGTTCAAAGCCCTTAAAACTTTTCAATGTTAACACAAACCATTTTTATACAATGTTCAAGGCACTGAAATTATTCAGTCTTAACCATTTTTATACAATGTTCAAGGCACTGAAATTATTCAGTCTTAACCTTTTAAAAATAGCATATTGCATATTTGTAGCCAACATAATGGCTATATACATTTCCACAAAAAGTATGAGTGCTGAAACTGAAAGTTCAAAATTTTTCCAACATTCAGGAAAGATAAGTTTGTCTAAAATCATTGAACCACGACCCCAATTCAAACTTAAACTGCTTATTCCTAAGATGTATCTATATTATTTTCAAAGTGAAAGGGACATAACTCTGCCAAAAAATCATCGAACCATGACCAAATTCTAACTTGACCTGCGCATTCCTTTGACATATCCATATGTCAATTTTGAGTTGAATATGTAACACTGTTGGGTTGATAATGAACAGAAACTGTAAATTTCATATCATTTTCAAAGTGAAAGGGGCATTCCAAAAACATATCCATATGTCAAATTTAAGTTGAATGTGTAATATTGTTGGGGAGATAAAAAATGGGAACTGAAAATTTCATATTATTTTTAAAGTGAAAGGGGCATAACTCTGCCAAAAATCATCGAACCATGACCAAATTTGAAATTGACCTGCGCATTCTTTGACGTATCAATATGTCAAATTTGAGTTGAATGTTTTAATACTGTTTGGGAGATAATAAACAGAAACTGAAAATTTTCATATTATTTTCAAAGTAAAAGGGGCATAACTATATTAAAAATCATCGAACCATGACCAAATTTGAACTTGACCTGCGCATTCCTTTGAACGTATTGATATGTCAAGTTTGAGCTAAATGTGTTGTACGATTGGGGAAATAATGAACGGAAACTGAAAATTTCATATTATTTGCAAAGTGAAAGGGGCATAACTCTGCCAAAAATCATTGAACCATGACCAAAATTTGAACTTGACCTGCGCATTCCTTTGACGTATCCATATGTCAAGTTTGAGTTGAATGTGTTGTACCATTGGGGAGTAAATGAAGCGGAAACTGAAAATTTCATATTTATTTTCAAAAGTAAAAGGGGCATAACTCTGCCAAAAATCATCGGAACCATGACCAAATTTGAACTTGACCTGTATTTTCCCATGACATATCCATATGTCAATTTTGAATAAGAATGTTTTGAACGGCGTTTTGGGAGATACATGAACGGGAAACTGAAAATTTCATATTATTTTCAAAGTAAAAGGGGCATAACTCTGCAAAAATCATCGAACCATGACCAATTTCGAACTTTGACCTGTATTTTCTCATTACATAATCCATATGTCAATTTTGAATAGAATGTTTTGAACCGTTTGGAAGATAATGAACGGAAACTGAAAATTTCATATTATTTTCAATGTAAAAGGGGCATAACTCTGCCAAAAATCATTGAACCATGACCAATTTCGAACTTGACCTGTATTTTCTCATGACATATCCATATGTCAAATTTGAGTTCAATATGTGCAAGGGTTATTAAGATAATGAACAGAAACTGATGATGACGGAAGGACGGAAGGACGGAATGACGGAATGACGGAATGACGGAATGACGGAACAGGGTAACACTATATGCCCCTGCCATTATATGGCGGGGGCATAAATATTACATGAAGAAAAAGACCCATGCATTTCACATTTGCAAAAGCATTTTAAGGATCTTTTCCAAAACAAAATGTTATCAGTATTTATACAGATGTTTGAGAATTCTCTGAATGTCCTATCAACATGAAGATGATATTATATTGAAGACCATAATATAATTCTATATGCAACAGCTAAAACAAACTCTACTGTTTTGTTAAATACTGATCATGTAATTGAATTTCTGTTAAAAAGGTACCTCATAAGTCATTGAATACTATATATCTAGATATTTCGTTAATACAAAATGAAATTAGTGTTACCCATCTTATTTTCCCACAGTTTCATCACATAGTCAACATTTGCCCTGTATTTATAATGTATAGGTCAAAGTACAGAGCTGTTACCTTAAAGTGGACAGAATGTATCAGTAAACATTTACAACCTTACTCAGTTGACTGACAGGCACAACAGTATTCTGAAGGTCCGGGGTTCAATTCCTAGTCATGCTGTACAACTGTCAAACCCTTTGCAACAGGGGAATGTGACAGTAAATAACCCTTAAAGTCAAATTAACAATGTTCTCTAAACCCATTAGAAATTCCTGGCATTTTGCTATAATGTCCCAGTTAAGACCTGTTCACAAACACAATAAGAAAACATGTTAGCATCTGGCTAGCTCAATTGTGCAGACATGGAACAGATTCTTAAGGTTACCAATTTTGCATCTCAGCAAGGCTTCAAATTTTTCTCCCCCTATGAGGAGTCATTTGATATTTGCGAGTTATAGCTCTTGGCTACAAAAATTATAACAAGAAGTTTAAGGCAACAAGTTATTTTAACAACTGCTATCCTTAGAATTGTACTTTGTAATGAATGCTTGATTCAAGTAAGATTGCTTACTTTTAAAATTTGGAAGCTGTACATGTATGTCGTTTGCAATATTTTCATATCCAGGAAATCAGCTTATTTTAAGAAATTCAAATTTTCAAAGCAAAGGCAGTTCCTAACATAAAATCAGTAAGTTAGTTTGAAGAAAAATGTTTTGAATACTGCAGTCATACATAATAGAACAAATTCTAAGTACTCCTTGCTTTAAAAGGTTCAATCATTGGCAACAGTGTGTATATTTCAAAAGACACAAAAAATATCTAAGTTTCATTTTGCTATACACTTCAAATGATGTCTTAATAAAAACCTTTATAATTTATAGTTATATCATGGAATGAACAGTGTGACAATTGAACATTCACATTTAGAAATGTAAAATGCTTTATTTCTTTTGATGAAAAAATGATGGCTCATAACGACATTAAACTTTTCATTCACATATTTACCATTGCTATAACCCTCAATCAATTGCTCAATAACACTTAGTTTTCAAGATCTGTGGGTAAATGTCTTTGATTAATTCTGTTACAAGGCATGTCTTTCCAGTGTCACCTGATGATGGGTCAGATTACCAGACACATTTCCAATGCTAAATATGCTTATTTTTCCCCTACTGAACTGAAATTCTTGATATTAAAACTAACAAATGTGCTGGTGGTATCAGACAGATGTTTCCACATTTCATTGTCAAATCTTAATGTATTTTTATGTTATGAATAATATAAGCATAGGTCGGAATAAAAAAAAATTGCACAATTGAAAATACTTTGCCAAAAGAGCATGAAGGAGGTTTCAAAAAGTACCAAATATTTTTTAAATTAAGCAATAATTATAAGACACAAAATTTCCCAAACTGGACAAGGTAAAAATGCTAGAAAAAGGTCAGCAAGGTCCATACTTGACTGTGTGTCATATCATATTATTCTTCTTCACAACAATAATACATGTTATCTAATATCTCTCAATCATTTTGCTTTTAAGAAAGAAAACATATCTAATTTAAATCAGCTTACCTCCCTTTTGGAACATAAAATGATCTTGTACATATGTTAGGCTTGTAATTTTTGGAATCTGCTGTACACATTCTCCAATTAATGTTTAGTTTGATAATCAACAATATAGTTCTAAAAAAGTTATTTCACTTTCATGTATGCTTATAAATCTTATTACTTCATCAGGAAGTTTGAATTAATTCTACATTCGATATAAAATTCATAATAACAGTCTTGAAAACAAATACATCTACTGTGAATCTAAATCAAACTGTAACAGTATTTTTTTTTTCACATTCAAAATCTAAAATTCAAAACAACATTTTAACAACCCAACCAATGTTGTAACATTTTTGCAGACAAAAAGTGAATGTCCATGTCTATGAATTAGTGAATTAGTCTATGTCCAATTAACTTTAAATATTTTTAATAATTTTCTGACCTATTTTAATGGTTTTTGACATGAAGTCCTTAACATTTGAATATTTGTCTCTTATAATTCTGCCCTGTTTAGGTTACATGTATCATGCAATTTTATATTTTTGATCTTAACTTCTATAATTATAAAATATATTTAATTTCCAATGGATTAATACATTGACCACTGTTTTATATAATACCCTTAATGTATAACTTTAATCTATGTTTCATTTAGATGTCTATCAAGTTTTAACATAAGGAAATGAGCATTAAAGTGGAGCAACATCTACTTCTGTTCCAACACTTTCTAGGAGTTACAAGTTCAGAAGAATATATTGATGCTTGTGAAGTCAAGATAGACAAGTTTGGCTTATGACATATCTTTATAAAATTCAACAAGAATTGTCAGAGGACAGTAACACTCGACTATTCGAAAAAGTTGTCACATAAGGATGTTTGAGTATAATAATGCTTACCTATAACATAAAATTGTCCGAAAGGTACAAAGGCTTGTTATTAAGATGTTTTATCGAGTTAATCACAGCTTTATTATTATGAA